AATTATTGCCATTCATGGGAAGTTACAGTTCATTAGCATTATCTGAAAGCCATAAAAAGAACAAACTTTTCAGCTAGAATTTCTGTTTTTCTAAGACTTTAAAAGGTAGACTAGAAAACAAAGATTTTTGATTCAGAAAACTTTCTTCGCAAAAGTCTTCAAAGCTACCTTTAGCTGGTTTTAGAGACATACTTTTGAAACAATGGTAGAACCAACGTGAAAAAAGGAAAGGATTAGAATGCCTTTTTCTATCAAATCTCAGCATCTTGTGTTATTATAAAAGACAGAAAAGAAATTTCCCAGTTAGTTGAGCAGCAAATGCATAACAGAGAAGTTTACAAAAATATAGCCATGCTTACTTGAACAGTACGGAATGAGAAAAAAGAATAATAAAATAACTTTTAACCTCTCAGTTGGTTTGTTGAACATAAATCGTGGAATATTCAATTTTCATTACTTCAAACTCGTATATGGTCCAACCGGTATAGACTTTTTTGGTTTAGTGGCTGGCCGGCCGAACCAGCATAGTGGTTAGCGTCACTGAATGCCGTGCCGAAAGGTCGGGATTCGAATCCCGGAGAAGGCATGTATATTTTGTAAATGTACAGTGTATGTGCGGCTTGGAGACACTCTAAATATGCGGCAAGCCGAAAGTCTTCTCGAGTGGTTTTTGTGGAAGGGGAGAGGGGTGGGACTGCGCTTGGACCCGTACCCCCTAGGGTGCCCCATTTTTAACCCAGGAGTAATTTTCAAACTTTTACTGGATCATATATATCACGTTAGTAGTCAAATGGTTGACTAGGGTAAATCGCTGGATGACACACATATAATTTACAATAAATACTAGACATTTTCATAGTGTTATCTACAAATTCGCAACTGATTTTCTCAAATCTAGCAGATCTACCAGAGTTACTAAAATCTAATCTTATTTATCCATTAAATGTGACTACCTTTAAATTTATTAGGAAAAAAAAAGAAATATTAAAATAAAAGCATGACCTTTTTAATGTTGACAAAAGCGAATTGCAGTCTAATTAGTGGAAGAAAACTTAATTATCTGAATGTATAGCGAAAGCAAATTCATCCATTATTAAAATAGGGCGGACATTTTTTGAGGAATTAAATATTTCACGGTGTTTGCTCTGCAAATTATTCCATCCCGATGTTTGATAAAAACGTTAATTCAGCTGGCGATGGATTAAAAACTTTTGCTATAATCCAATTACAGAATAGCTGAATAGCTTTGTCATTTTTGATGATAGTCAAAAGATTTTTGACTTTACCCACAAAATCCATTAGAATGATAAAATGCTGAAAGTTAATTTTAGCTCTTATTGATTATAATTGTAAATAAAGACACGTTTTACTCCTAAAAGAAAAGAAAATTATACGTGTTTTAAAATACTACAGGTGGATGAATTTGTGGAAAATATGGCACAGTATCTATACTACACAATATCATTAGTTTTCTGCTAAAGTGCGATCGCCATGAGAACTCAAAAATCCGTAAGAATTTTATTCATATTCTTTCCCTATTGGTATTTACCAATTTTATGCGCTATTGGTAAATACAAACCTCCTGTAGGCAATGTAGAGTGCTTGTCGATGTCGATCCTAGCTGTGACTATCCCATGTTGGTGACGATTTTATGCTGGATCGATATTGTGCCAGTGTCTATTTTATGCAGTATTTACGAGAAAGATATATATATAGTACATGTATATAGTACATTTTCCGTAGTATAGAACCAAGACGGTTCTATTCGTAATAAACAGCTAGAATTTTGATGTCTTAGAATGCTGAAACAACGATCCACAATGAATAAGAAATTTGGCAGTCAAGGTAAACTTAATTTAACTTTTATTTCAGTAAACATGTTGTGGCGGCAATCCAGTTGGCACATTAATTGTGCCTATTACAAAAATCTTACATTTTTGATAACTTTTTAGCAAGAAAGAAGAAGCAAATAGACAGCAGTCCAGCTAGGCCGAAGCGTTGAAACCAAGTGTGTTATGTTCAGAGTGAAATCTTTATTCAGACTGAGATAGTTTTGGTTCTCAATGCATTTTGATTGGATGGTTAATACTGCTGTAAAATTACTATTGGCTGTTGGAGTTTAAGTTTCATTTACATCATCAGAATTACGTAAGAGTCATATGACAGATTTTTCTCGAAATGACGCAGTGCAAATAGAGGTTACTATTTTTAGAATAGAGAAGGGCATTAATTTTCTCTGCTAATTTAATCTTTTACATATTCCTTATTTTTCTTATATATATACATTATAAAGTATTTTCTCCCTCCTTCCAGTATGCCTTCGTGGTGTAACGTAGTGCACACTAGGTGCGAAATTCGAGAGGTCCAGGTCCCTCTCGGCGATGGCATTGCTCATTTCTCATTTCTCCTGTTTCAAAATACTTTAATCTCTCTATAGTGGCGTCCGAACTAAAACGTTGGTGGATAATGATTCTTCACCACCAGGATTCGGCAATTGTGTCCTCTAATCCCCAGTCCTTTTTTAAAAGGGGGTATATAAAGGTATATAGGGTATTTTCTCCCTCTTTTGGACACACCTTGGTCGTGTAACGATTAGCACACTCAGCGCGCATCAGCGAGCAGGTTCGAGTTACGACGAGGGCATTGCTCATTTTTTTATGTCTCCTGCTTCATAAAACCTAATGACTCTACAAAACTATGTAACGGCGATCGTACGGAGGCTATGGTAAAGTAGAGATGATAAACTCGCAATAATCCTCTTCTTCAACATTACAGCCTTATCATTTTTTTATCACATCACGCTTAAGCTTGTAAATGCAGTCGCTGTTATTTCGATATATCTCTGGTGCCACTTTCACTTCATGTCAAGTTGAGCACTGTCTGTCTTGTGAACTGTTCAGTTCGTGCTGTGTAGATTCTATCAATATAAATTAATTCATCTACAAATTTCACATGCACACACCTTAAATTTAAAGAATAAATATTTAGCATCCTGTCTTGCCAACAGCTGTATAAGCCAGATCAGCAGAACCCCAGACTTAGACTCTCAAAAGTTTAAATTTATGTTAAATTTAGATAAACTTTATGTCGCTATATTTTGAAGAAACTATTATTATAATCTACACACGGAAAACTGTGTTATGGCTACACGGCTGCTCTATATAACTTCCGAATTAAATTTTTCGAAGTGTTACTTACTTCGTAGTATCCCGAAGTTTCGTCATATTCTTTGGAAACAGGGGTAAGACTTTAAATCCATGCCTCATTGTGAAATTTCAAGCTTAACTGAAATGGGTGGTCTTCAAAAATGTGCTTGGGACAGACGCTGGTTAAAAACTATGCTACACTATTATTTTCTGTTGCGCAAAGATCTACTTTTTATCAGTTATATAACCGACAGTTTGCATTTAAAACCTATAGAACACAGATTTCAAACAAAACTGTACATTTGAACTGATTTGAATATCACAATTTAAAGAACGAGAAATGCATAACAGACTTGATGGTCCATTGAATATTGCAAATATAGTTAATTACCAATCACTACATATGGTGTGCTGTGACAGAGCGGGGAAGAGTGTCACTACACACGATGTATAAGAAGTCGAGTAATATGGCAGATGTGGGCAAGGCTAGTTGTAGCTGACTACATAGCTTTTGAACGATATTTTTTTCTAACTTTTTCCCTTGCTTTTGAACAGTAACAGTCTCATCGGAAATAGCAAAAATTGCTTTTTGTTGTTATTATTTTTTCCATGTTATTTCATGGAAGAAATTAGTGTGTTGGCAGATCTTCAGAACCTCAAGGAGGTTGAACTTCTACCGCAATTTTGAGGGACGGCACCCCGGAGGGGGGTCCGAGCGGCTCCCACTTCTCTCCCCTTCCACCAAACCACAGGAGATGACTTTCGGCTCGACATATATTTAGAGTGCACATATGCCGCAAAGACACTGTACATTTACAAACATCCATGTCTTCTCCGGGATCCGAACCCGAGTCCTTCGGTACCGTAGTAGGCTTCCTTAACCACTGTACCATCTGGGCGGGAAAATTGCTTTTTCTTTTAAACAATAACAAATTTAAAGTTACTGAATATTTTGATTATTATCAACATTTGTTACAAAACGTTGTTTATATCATATTCCAGATTAAACCATCACTTACCTCAAGAGGTACGCATATTTTATACTGGCCACCACAGTAGTGTATAATTTACAATTTCTTTCCGACCCCACCACTGCCTCCGCAGGGGCCGAGAACACTCCCCCTCCATTGGCCGAGTGGTAAAGTCGCTGAATAGTGGTAGTTCGGTCCTGGGTTCAAATCCCGGCAAACGAGCTACCTGCATGGGCGTGTTTGCGGTCTTAATCATGTGTAACGTGTATACTAGCCAGTTTCCCTTAGAAAGTCTTCCACGAAGGCATCCCTTCCTTTAAGCAGATAGCCCTCGAGTGCTTTACGGTAATTAAATAAGCCAAGGCCGACGCAAGAATGGAATTGATGCAAAGAAAGAAAAAGTACATTCCAACCCAGATAAGAAAATGAGCTACAAATAAAACATAACTGTACACATAATTCTCTAGGAATGTTATTTTTATATCAAAAACTCGAAAAAGAATTATGCCATTTAAAGTTCAGTCTACTTCAGCCTACCATTCGCCCTTATTTCGCCATGGCAAATACGTATGAGAGTTAATATTCGTTTTCATTAATTAATAGTTTAAGAGTCCGATTTGGCATTATGATTTTAGCTATTGTGTTCAGTACCTCCATTAATACTATTAAACACAATATTTAAGGATCTGTTTTAAACCACAAGGATTCAACACCCTGCCCAACAAGTTGAGAAAAAATAGCCTTAATATCAGATGCCAGAATGAACCCACGTTTTCTCCCATGCGGGAAGCATTAATTATTAATCTCATCCGTTACATGATTCCGAGTTTCAAGAGCTTTGCTCTCAAAAGAAGGAAAAGAAAGCGCATTCATTTTACATTACCTTGAGTGCCATCGGCATGAATGACGAGTCCATCATCTCGGAACCAGGCAGTCGCAGTCACGTAGTCTCTCATGAAATTTGGAATGTGGCACTTGAGAACAGCCGTGTTGTCTCGAATCACGAACTCGTCGTACACCTTTACTTCATACTGCTGGCTCAGCACTGAAAGAGACAATAAAAAAAAATTAACAAAGAGGAAGTAAAGAATGATAAAAAGAAGGAATAGATAGAGAAAAAGAATTATAAAAGTCCCTCGTATCAAATAGGATCAGAGGACGCTCGGAAGCGTGAAAATTAGCTCTTTCACAGTCGAACGCTTATGAGGATTTTGGCGTTCAAATAACCAGAACATTGCGGTGCGTAGAATAGATAGAAGAGTAAGTGCTTCATTTTCGGAAGTTATCTGCTTATTGTGCAATAAGTCTAAAAGATTGAGGAAAGGACATACTTAAGTTGAAGAGGGCGTATTTCTGGCACCTTTTCCTCTACATGCAGAATAAAATAAATTTGCTCCGTGAGTTGTCAGATGTGTAACCTGTGCAGTTTCCAAGGCGATTTTAATTGCGGAAAGTCATCGATATATGCGTGTTTGTTTTAATCGATGAATTGTAAAAACATGAAAACGCTGCCGTAATTTTTCTAGTTTAGTAAAATTACAAAATTGAATTTTCCGTGATTTTATAAATAAAAAAGGTATCAGTATTATGTCAAATTGTCATAAATTATCTTAAATTACTCGCCAAAGCAATGTAGCGCATCGGTAATCTACATATGTATATATAAAGAAGAAGGTCTGTGTGTGTGGGTTTGTTGGCTAAATAACTCAGTCACTACTATAGCTATCGTCACCAAACTTTCTACAGTTCTTTTCGGGGTCCTGCAAATGGTCGACGTCTTCCTTTCTTCAAACACAATTAGCTAAAATCAGAGCTATTAATTAAGAACTTGGAAAAACGATAATTTTCGCCCTCCTTTTTCCGAGTGTCAATAATCTCGCACGGCGTTGATATCAGTCTGCTTTCTTTCAAGAAGTATTGCCACTACTCGCTTTCAAATCGAAGAGTTTGTTAATAAAAGATTTTTAAGTTTTACAATGAAAAAAACCACATGACTTCCTTGTACGGAATATTAAATTATACGCATTTTTTTTTGCATTTCATTTAAACTTATTATATTGAATTAAACTTACTTCGCCGACAGTGCATAAACCACAATAGAATAAATGAATTCTTTAAAATTCACTTTGTTTACCATAGCGACACTCTGGCGCTAGGTTTAATTAACAGTATTATATTTCGTTCATATTATAACTTAGAATGCACAAAATTTATATCATTTAAAGAATTATCTAATCGTTGCCACATGTTCTATTCAAATACTATAATAAAGCTAGAACGATGTATAAAAGAAATTAAGCAAACAAAACAAAACAGAAACAGTTTTCCACAGACGATTGAGTATTTCTCATTCAATCAATTCAGTTTTCAATTCGCGACAAGGCAAAAATTTATAAAAACTCAAACTATCTGTATTAAAAATTACGAAGTAAATCTAATCATGCTTAATGCTTTCAGGATTTTTTTCGAGGTGTTATCTTTGTTGTTGCAAAGCTAAGTTTCTCTAGATTGGCAACAAATCTGCTACGCAGCTGTTTCAAATGTAAACAAGAGCAATGGGCGCCATCAAATTAGGCTTAGCGGCACTTAAACAATTTTAAAATTCTTGATAATTCTAAAAATATTGCATACAGATTTACTAAAGGCATAAAACCCTTAACCGGAAGATAAAAACCACATAATTCAATCATTTTAAAGCAAAAAATGTACAATTTACCAACATATAAGAGTAAAGAAACTGAGATCACTGAGCCGGGTAACAGAGTGGATATATTTATAAATATATTTATATACGTTTGGAGCGGCCGATTGAACCAAAATAGCGCGACCGAGGTGCACATCTACATGTTATAGTACATTGCTACATTATCTCATATACAAGATTTCAACGTTCTGAGGCTACTCGTTTTGAGTTATGCGAGATACGTACGTACGCACGTACGTACATACGTTCGTACAGACGCCACGAAAAATTCTCTTCAGAATTAATTTTAAAGCAGTTTTTTATTTTTATTTTTATTTATTTTTTTTTTTAATTTTTTTTTTCGGAAAAGAGTCTTTTATTCTGTCCTTACGTACAGATATCACACAAAAACATTCTTAAATTGCATTCGAAACCGGTCAAAGTGGATATTTTCGTTGAAATATGCTGCCTGAAGCTTTTCGCGATTACAATACTTCCTTTTTTACTTCGTACAAGGAAGTAAAAAGCATTATTACCAAATATCAAATACATTATTTTCGATTATAAAAAATTCTTGTGCAGCCATTTTCACTGTTCTCATATTCGTACGACCTTAATCAGCTGAAATATGAATTAAAAACTCCGAAAACACTAATTTTCGCGCACATGTTTCCGAGATTTCCGAGTCTTGCTCGTCAGACATAATAATGCTTTATTTTGCTAAGTTTTGTTTTACTGCTCGCTTTCAAATCGAAGAGTTTGTTAATCAAATAGTTGTAAGTTTTACAAAAATCTACATATATAAAGAAGAATGCTTGTTAGTGTGTTTATTTGTTTGTTCGCATTATTGATTTCTGATCAATTTTTTGCCTCATTTAATCGCCTAAAATTGAATATAGGTGAAATATCGGATGGAACTCGAGGAGCTTTTACGGCCATTTGATTAGAAAGATGAAAATCATTGAAAACTGCGTGATATTGTTGCTGATATAATGAGAAAGAATTAGCTGTTCTTCTATCGAAATTTTTTATGTGAGTTGCATATCGCATCATTCCGAAAAATGTATGACTACGAATCGTAATATTTAAGTTTTGAAATGCATTACTCTCAATCTAACTTAACTGGTTACTTCTGCTAGTTATTAAAAATATTGTCAATCGGCGGCATGTGACAAGAATGCAATACGGAAATGTTTCAAAGAATTTAGAGATAATTTAATGCAGTTGTTAACTTCAACTGTAAATAAAGATTCTCAGTTAATACGAAATATGATTTTTTTTTCAAATTATATATATTCATAAAATGCCTTCTTCATTTTTATTTTAATAGCAATTGAAAGCAAAGTGCAAATTGTTTAAGTATAATTTTCTAATTTTAAGCTCATTTTTTTACTGTAACAGTATTGATGAGCTAATTTAATGTTAAGTGTCCTTTATTGTGAAGAATATATTTCAAAACCGGCCTCCTATAATTTATTTTTAATTATTTACGTTTAAATATTAAGAGTTGAAGAGCTCAAGTGAAAGAGAATTTACATACATCTGGCCTCCGGACATTTAGCTAAATAAATATAAGAGGTTAATTAAATTTTGAAGCTGAGACGGATATTAAGTTTTTACTTTCTTTACTGTTTTTTCCTTTCTTTGCAAAAGGGAGGAATGATCTAGTTTATCGAATATGATGGCATTCCTGCTTTGTCACGTGATACAAAAGTAAAATAAAACAAGAGAAAATAAATCAAAATGATGCGCTTTAATCGTTTTATGTTTTGTTAGTATTTATTGTTATTTATATATCACCAGAAAGAAATGTCTGCTGATATTGATGAATAAAATGTTGTAGTTTCATCAGATTTGAATTGCATTATCACTAGGATTGTATTTACTCCATTATGAACCGAGGAGATAAATTAGTTTGGTTTGGTTTATTAGATTGCGGCAAAGCACTCGAGGGCTATCTGCCTTAAGGGAGGGGTGCCTTCGTGGAGGACATTTTAAGGAAAACTGGCTCGTATACACGTTACACATGGGGAAAAGCACGAAAACACCCATGCAGCCAGCCCGTCCTCGGGATTCGAACCTCGGACCAAACTACCAGTGTTCAGCGACGTCACCGCTCGGCCGCTGGTGGGCCGAGAAGATAAATTAAAAAAAAAGAAAAAAAAATGAAAATCTGAAAGGATTAAGATTTTAATGCCCCACCAGAGGGTTTGTAATGGAACTCATAACCATAAAGACTTTGGTTTAATCCAAGAACCCTATTGTATCGAAGGGAAAGTAAGTAGCATTCCAACGTCTTGGAATGTCTTTCAATATTCTCCTCAGTCCCCTAATCAACATCCCAGAGCAGCTATCATCAGTTTTAATCATAGCTGGCACCCAATTCTAATTACAGCCAAAAGAGACCTAGTTACAATCAGTCTTAATAGTTCCAACTCTCAACTTCCTTTTTCAAGTATTTATGCATCTCCCTCCGAGGATATTTCTCCTTTGCTTCAAGATTTAGAATCCATCTTGTTTATGGAGACTTCAATTCACACAACCAGCTTTGGGGCTACAAAGCCACAAGTCCAAGAGGAAAGTCCCTTGAGGAATTCTTCAATTCACATAATCTTGTCATTCATAACCAAGCCTCGGATTTACCTTCTTTCGAAACAATGTATGGGAGAGGGTGGTTAGATCTTGTAGTTTATTCCCATCACCTAATTAATTCGATTTCAAATCGCAAAATTGAAGAAGACAACTCCCACTCAGATCATAAATATATTACTTTTGAAATCAAAGATAACTGAGAATCAGTTTTAATGACACGTTTTAAAATTACTAAAAATAAAGAAAAGAACTTTATTAAGCAAATTCAACAATCCGCACTTCCAATGACTTCTTCCTTCCAACTAAGTGCAACAAAAGAAGATCTAAATAAAGCTACAGAAGATTTTATAAAAAAAAAATCCAAGAAATATGTGAAAATACCTTTCCAATACGATCTGCAAAACCTTACTTTCATATAAATTGGTGGACTAAAGAGTTACGCGCTCAAAAGCATAAGGCGAGAGCATTGAAATGGAAAATGAAATCGATTACTGACGATGAATTAAGACACCAAGCCTGGCTCAAATTCAAAAAAGAAAATGCAAACTACAAAAAGATGATTCTCGAATCTAAATTAAAAAGTCGGCAAAAATATTGTTCAAACAATAAAGAAATTTATGGCACCTTATACAAGATCGCCAGCAGTAAAATATTTAAACCGTCACAAATCCAACTTTCCTCAAATTTGCTTTCAAGTTCTGCTGAAATTCAGGATGCCACTCTCTCAACCCTAAATGAGATTCTTGACTCTGTCTTTCCAAAAGATGATCCAGCTGAAGATTCGCCTACTCAAACCAGAATCCGTAACCTGCGAATGACAGTCCACAAACAGACAAACGATATTCCGTTTCTCAAAACAAGAAATAAAGCAAATAATTAAAAACCTAGCTTTAAAAAAGGACACCAGGCCCAGATGGCATCGATAACCACATTATAAAATTAATCAATCAA